TTTTTTTTTTTTTTTAGAATGAAAAATATTTAGGATGAGCAGAAATGTAAATGTATTTTCGTAGGATAAAACGGTCGAAAATTTTTTTAATTTGAAAGCGCTCGCTCTCGCGTTTCATGTGTGATTTTCTAATTATTATACATAGCGCCTTCATGGAAATAACGTGCGAATTCGATATACCTGTGCAACAAGTTTTCGTAAATCTTTAAAGGCTGCGAGCACGCGAGATTATTATAGCAAAACGCTGCGGCGTGATGTCCTACCTGTGCAATACGGCAACGGCTACGTCACAAATCAATTGTAATGTTGGCTTTTATTATGAAATACGGGTCAATAAGTTCTCCCGAGGCAATTTCCTTCTGTGTGCTCGCACGTGTGTGAGCCATACGACCGCAACATTTATCCTGCGCTGAATGTAATCAGTGCGGAACGTCACAGTTGCAGTTTCGACGCTTTTTTCGTTTCCCTTTTTATATCGAACACTTCGTCAAACGGTCTAATATAACGGATATATACACTGAAATAAAAGTGTTTGCTATTTATGACTATAATTGTATGATAAAGTAGTTATGATTAGAAGCTCCATTTTTATTATTGCTACATGTTAGTGATAATAACTATACATGTAACATAGCAATAATAAAAATGGAGCTTCTAATCATAACTATATACTTCATCATGCAATTATATAGTCACAAATATCAATTCTCTTAAACATGAAAAAAGTATTTACTGTAAATTATGATAATTTCAAATATAATCGCAATATTATATAGTAAATATAATTTTTTTATAATTAATTTATTTTTTATAGTATATAATAATAAAAAAAGATATATTAAGAAAAATTAAAAATTCTCAAACAATGTACATGATTATCATTAAGCCTAATATTATATTTGCATATTAAAACAACTATAAATATATAGTTGTCTAAAAAAAAACAGCTTTTATTTTTAGTTAAATCATAGTAGTTATATCTATTTTTCCTCTCAGTATAGTATATCAAATATATAGCGATATAATATTGTTCAAATTATTTAACTTTACCGTGAAAATAAATTTAAAAAAAAAACTATTTTTAAAAATTGCGTTTTGTTAGACTAAAATATTCAATATTTATAGGATACCTCGATTTTTTAGCATCTTTGTTATTTTAATAGCACTTCTCTTTTGTTGGCAGTTTTTTCTCACCAAACATAATTCCTCTCTTGCAATGCTGCAACTTTTCGCATACACATTTTTATACACAGCTCCAATTTCATTCTGGCTTATTCAATTTTTTACAAACTTTTTTCTCGTGATCATTTTAGTTTTTAATCCGTTCCATTGCGCGCATTTTCGCGATGTGTGAGTAAGTTCGCTCTCAATCCGCTCAGCGTTATCATGTGACAAAAGCGCCGGAAATATCGAGCGCGACCCAGGCTTAATTTCGCGGCATTTTATCAAAATCGATTTATCCGTCGGACTCGGACCGATCTCGTCCGCGAATCTATGGATTGATTCGACGGCACGGCCAACTTTCCGGAGAATTACGAATCTGGGTCAAATGGATCCATCGCGTAATAACTTTTGAGGTTGACATTGAGGCAGAGCGAAATTCCTCGAGGCTTTCCGTTTGAACGATATTATGAAAAATGGAATGCTTGCATCTGTCATACAGTCTATTATAGATGGATCTCGTTCACAGGGCATTGTTATTATTATCGTATTGTTATTAACAAGTTAATTTGAGCTTTACTTGCTTACAAATTATTATTTAATATTAAAAGAGTAGAAAAAGCGCAAATATGTGGGATTACAATTTAATTAAAAGTTGAAGTATTAAAAAGATATAATCCTCTCGTACTGTCAATTTTTTTTTTTTTCATTTTACACTGTAAAAAGTTT